CCATGTTCGTTTAGAGATCAATGTGATATCTGATGCTGTATCCAATTGCAATTGAATATGAACACCATTTACAATTAATTCCACATACCATTTTTATCTGCTATGCTTAGAGCCAATGTAGCATATATACTGTTCATATACTTGTTTTAATACTGGTGAGGACGCTCCGTTGGCTTTGATCTCAAGCTTTTTCTAGTTCGGTAGACTGTTTCTTTATGACCGACTTTCTTGCATATAGTACATCTATGATCTCTAAACCGGCAAACTTTGAGAAGTGCCACTCACCACAGCACCAACATTTAGTTGAAGATTTAGGAATTTTCGAGTGATATCTACAACTTTTTGGTACTATTTCGTCTTTGAACTGTCTTGACAGTATGAACAGAATGATTAGATGGTACCATATTTTTGGTTTCCAACATAGCTGTATCCTGTTTTAAGTTTATTAATCGTTGGCATTCAGCGGTAACAGTCTGTAACGTCATTTCATCATCATGTTCCATACAGGATAACAACTTCATGCGAAAGTCAGCATCAACAGGAAAGTGCAGATCAGAAATGAATAATAAGCATTTAATTTGATCACTGGTTAAAACATTTAATTTAAATCGCTCTGCTTGTAAATTTACTCTTCCAGCGTACGTAGTGTAGCCTTCATCAGCTTATTTAGTCAGCTGTAGACAGTTATGCCGGATATGGAATATGGACGCCTGTCCACAAAACATTTTATTTAGGATGTTAACAGCCTCATCTAAGTTAACTTCTCGTGGATGTTTAGGCAGATTATGGTTTTTATACTTTGAATCCTCGTTAGGACCAAGCTTCTGTAACAGCAGCCGGACTTCCTTTGCAATTGGAAGCAGACAAAAATGAATAACTGGAAAGGACTGCCCGGGACAAATTTCGATGGAAAATGCTGGTGGGTGACCTATGATACTCCACGAGGAGTAACAGATGTAAGTAGGTAATATGAGGGTGCAGTGTAATAAGATTTATCTTTCATGATAAAGTAAAAGATCTACTTTTTTCCTTTCTATAATCGGCGCTATATTGATTGCTCATTTGAATTTCATCTTAGTTGTACTGAACCTGTTTTAATGCAACAAATATCGTAAAAGTTGGGACTGGTTTCCAAATTATTAACTAATTATATTTTTGTTATATAATTACTGAGTAACTAAACTACTGCATCTATGTATTTCATTTATCATAGGCTTTTGTTCAACCTATTAACTATTATTATGCTACTTTCTTCCCCTAATTTATCCCCAGTCTATCACTTACAGCTAGCCCTATTCACAGCTACTTTTGACTCGTTCAAGTATAAGTTATTTTCCATTTTTTGGTATAATCCAGTTCAGGATATTTGTATATAAACTACATCTGTATGAAATACATAGTACATAGTAATAGCTGGTTGCTGACTTTGAACTTAAGGTAAGGTTTAAGAGTAATGGACGAACATAAACTCAGCTGTGTTAGCTCAAGGTCAATGGTGCTGATTAGATGTATGATAAATCAAGTCGAGTAGGGTAGGCTACAGAAGAGATGATAGATCCAAAGTAGAAAAAAATTAAAATTCTGATTAGTGACTTCGTATGTAACATTCGTCATGCGGTACCAACACACGACAGAACCTGTAGCTCATAATCATTTGAGTATTCAATAATTGAACTGTATTTCACAATAGTTTAAAGATCCCCATTATATCCAATGACTAATATTTGAACGAATAATATTCTTTTCGATAAATTCTCTTCAAGTTCTACAATTATATATCCAAGTAATTAGTCCGAAAAATGGCCAGGTTAAGGGCAAAGTACATCATTTAAACTATGTGAATTTAAGATTGCTTATATTGGCAGTATGACCAGTTTATACTAAATGGGCCAATATCGAGCTGTCCACTTTTTTCATCAAACCTTTGTTTAGCCATGCTGGGAGGCGTTCACAAGCACGAAAATGTGAATTCCTAGAACTTCAACCAATATGACTTCCTCCACAGGAGCAACTGAACTAATAAATACAAAATGAGGTGGTAATTCATCATTTAGCCTAGGTATCACCATTGGGTGCGTAGAAAACACTGATCGCAGCTCTCCGGTGTTAAAAGATTTTTGCATTGTCCTGTGTAATCTCTAAGTTAATATTTCACTAGCCGCATCTCCTCTGAATTGTAGGTTCATGAACAGGGATTTCTTCTTCACAGTTTGTATTTCGCCTATTTTCATCTTCATGATCATATATTTAATTATAAACTTTCTAGGGCAACCGTTTTCCTTAAGATTATGCAAGGTGTTTGGCTCACCTTCAACTATATCCGCAGAACATATAGTGCGTATTCGGTAACTAAGGCTTTTGATCAAGCTTCGTTTGTACTGTAGAGGTACAAAGCTAAGGAAATGCGTATACTGCCCAGTCCAGGTACTTTTTCTGTTTAAGTTCCTTTTTAACGATCCATCCGCTCGCTTAGTTGAGAGAACGTCCAAAAAGGCTATTCGACCATCACCCTCTTCTTCAGATGTAAACTGAGTGGCTGAATTCACTTCATTAACCCACTTAAGAACCTCTTGTTGTGATGTATTATCTTTACAGAGGATGAATGTATCGTCGATATATCGACAGGAAAATGCAAATTTTTGAATAATCTTTTTTAGCGGACCATTTTCTTGTTTGGCTAGAAAAATATCAGCTAGTATAGAACCCACTGGTGAATCCATTGCCATACCATCTGTTTGTCTATATATTTCTCCGTTGAACTCGAAATTCACATTCACGATGCATTTGAGTAATAACTCTTTCATGACATTAATTGGAAGTGTAGTTTCAATTCCATTTTTGACCAGTTGTTCACCCATATATTCTACAGTCTCTATGAGTGGGACGTTTGTGAATAACGATGTTGCAACCAAAGACATCATCATCACTCCAAACGTATTTGCATTTTCTTTTCAATTAATTTTTCATTATGGTTCCACACTAATATACAAGTATGATTTACAATAATGAAATAATACTCATCGAGTGGATACGTTACGTAATAATGACATAATGAAATATCGATTATAAATTAACATTGAGTAATTAGAAGAAAGAGCATTAATAATAACCAAAGTAATTATTCGATAATCAAGAAGTTGCTACGTCGCATAATATATGAAAAAGAGGAGCAGAATATTTTAATGGATGGTTAGTAGAATAGTAGTTATGTAAGAGTCAAGAGACGAATGTTGAGAATAAATAAAATACAAAAATGTAAGAAATATGGAAATAGTTTATCAACGTTCTGTTACAAACGCCCCTATACCGATGGCCAAGGTATCGAGAACGGTTGTATAAACTTCGTCTGGATGTGAAGGTTAGGTTTTTGAACATGGATTGCAATGGCTTCAGCAATATAAAAAAGACACACTCATAAACCATGTGGCAAATTTGATGGAATATAGTAGATAACCTTAAAAGCTTTATTCAGTTCAACATGATGACCTGTATCCGCCAAGTCAGCGAGAATAGAACTCTTAATCACTCTTACCTGTCCTTTGCTCAATCACGATGGATGGTGCTCTGTTATACGATGACGAACTTTGATTATTATTAATCCTCTTTTATCCAATTATTCAATGTTAATTTATAATCGATTTGTCATTATGTAATTATTACGTAACGTATCTACTCGATGAGTATTATTTCATGAAGTCACCGACAAGTGGACTGAGTCATGTTGGTAGGTGTAGACTACCTGGTTGAGGACCGCGAGATGATAGTAACCGATGGTTAGAGACATAGCTCAAAATCGTTTTCAATGGTGCAGGTGCATCCACTCCTTGTGTTCTCCCAAATTCTAATCTTCTGAATTTTTCATATCCCTTATTTTTTTTCTTTCTAAACTTATTTCACTAGATTATACTCCTTGAATAACATCTTCAAAGCCTAATGTCTCCGATTACTGCTTATACTCTTACTACCTCTACCACTACGGGATTCGAATCGACAACTGGATCTCTGTGCTAATTCGGTGTGACAACTCGAACTGATGTACGTATGTAAGTACGAAGTTCTACGTTGTTACTGACTAACTGACTGATTTCATTAGTGTAAATCATATACATATTAGTGTAGAGCTATGATGAAAAAACTAATTGAAAAGAAAATTTTCCGCTCATTTCATTCCTCCTTTATTTACCAAATGTTAAAATAAGAATTTTCACTAAATTGGAATACATCATTAACACTATATCTTATAAACTTTTTCATGAAGAGAGGTTTTAATATTTATTTACCAATCACTTAGCTATAGTATAATGAAGAGATTTATTTTAACACATAGATATTGGCACAAGGGGGCGTCAGATACATATGCGCCACACAAATCTCATTTGATATATGTGAGGGTTGTGATACTGCCCAAGGGCCCAAACCGGAACAGGTGGCACTCTTAGACGGCCACACCCGGTGCCTTCGACCTAAAGGTCTGATCCACAAGGCAGTGAAGCAAAGTAAGGAGATGCAGTCCCATGGTAGTCGGTGACCAACGATTAGTTCATAAGCCATTTGTTCCCGCAGGATCCTGGAGCTCATGTGTACCATTGGTTTCGAATCAAGGTTTTCCAACTCCCCTAGGTGGACTCTCCATGTCCACCAACCCGGTTAAAGAGCAGAATATTCGCTTTTCGTCCTCTCAATTTTGTAAACAACACCCTCGCCACGAGAAGGCAATGAGTAGGACTTCGCTGGCAGAGGCTATAAACGCGTGTCCATGTGAGAGCATTTAGAGAGGGAGAGCTGACTCTCCCCACTCTCAGTTGTACCAGGGCATTTGGGGGCTAATATATATATATAAAGAGAGAGAGAGAGTTCATACATATCTACAATTGATTTGAATGGAATCATTCTTAGTTTGTGTACTTTTGATCATTTATATCCATCTTGACAGATACGTTTTCACTGGTCAAATATAATAAATAAATAAAACAAACATATATAGTGGATTTGCATCATTTTTACAATAAAATATCATAAATACCTTGAATAGGTTGTTCTATAGTTTCAAAAAATTTCAAAATATGATTTTTATGCGAATATGGTATTAAATAATTTAATAAAATGGATTGTTTTTTAATTAAATTATTATTATTATTATTATTCGATTGGCAAAGTATTATTGTATGATGATGATGATGATGATCATTTCTGATTGGTAAATATCGACGTGATAGAATATGTTGTTGATATGTTGGCCAATGATCAACTGATTCTATGATGAATGTCGACGATGACGATCGCGGTCGTGATGATGATAATATAGATTGGACAGTTTTCTCCTCTTTTAATTGTGTTGTTTCAATAGTCGATATATTTGAATTGAGAGTATATTTATAATCAGGTTGATTAGTAGTGTTATTAATAATATCATTATTAGACAAGGAAGATACAAGATTTATACTATGTAATTGATCATAAGATATATTCTTACGATAGTTCAGTATTTTTCGCCACCAATGTTGAATTCGACATGCAGCAGCTTTATATCGTAGGCATCTTTTAAGAACTGAACAAATCAAGAATAACAGACGAAAACATATGATCGAGAAAAGATTGATTAGCATAGATAACATAAAATAGGAATCATATTCGTGAACAAATCATCGATCGAAATTAAAAATAACCCAACGTTTTATTCGTCAGTTTGATCTGAGTTTCTTCAGTGAAAATTCAGATCAGACTGATGAGCGAAACGTTGAGTTATTTTTAATTTCGATCGATAATATGTTCACGAATATAATTTCTTTTGTCATGTTTTCCAAACATTCGATGCTTAACTACTCGTTCAAATTTAGATGAAGATTGATATAACACAGGTAACTCTTATTAAAAACTGAACTTTTAATTAAAAAAATAGTATCAACTATTAAATATATATGCTTGAATTAACAGCTACAATGTATGATCATCGTTTAAGAACTGTTGACTGCTTAAAGTGTGTTACCTGTACGACACTATGAATTTGTGCTCAGGGGTTGTACACAAACAGCTCATCAGTAAATTTTCTGATAATGATACAGTGTGACGTATTTTGGATTTCATAACGTCCAACCTATTCCTATCCCAGTCAACATTGTAAACCCTGATAGATGTTTAGGCATACATAACACACTCCAAATACCACGGTCGATAGACTTAAAATTCAACAAACTAGTTTGTCATATTTACCTGGTATTCTACATCCAATTTCAGCATTATTCACTTGACCTTTCCATCATACACAACCAATGTCGATCAAGTACTTATAGCTAACGAATGGTTCCAGTATCCTGAAGGAACAAATGGCGTATGAACTAATCGTTGGTCACCGGACACCATGGGACTGCATTTCCTAAAGTTGCTCCACTGCCTTGTGGATCAGACCTTTAGGTTGAAGGCACCGGATGTGGCCTCCTAAGAAAACCACGTGCTTCGGTCTGGCCACCCGGGTAGTATCCCAGCCCTCACACAAACTGAATGATTTATATGGCGCATATCTATTTGGTGCCTTCTTGGACTAATGTTTATGTGTTTAAATGAATGAATAAAAGATAGAGTTATTACGTAACAACAGATGGTAAGCCAATTGTATATTGAGAGTTAGAAATTATGGTGAAACTTCACCCAATTGTGATCGGTTATAAACAATATATAATATTAGAATATTGATTATTACTGTTATAAGTCTAATAATAGATATGGATTGTTAAAGTTTAATTATATAGACAAAGCATTAACCAATTTATTACATCATCTTAAGTCGGAATGGCTTATTTCACGATGGTAAATGGGTTAATGAAATTATCAATCACTATTAGGATATTGCAGTTGTAATATGTGATACATATATCCAATCATCCTCAATATGCATACATTATCTCAATTAACTAACATCTGAATAGAGTGTGAACTATTATTAAACAATGGGGTGACCAGCGGTTTACAAGTTGAGTAACTAAAATGTTAATTTTAACTATATTTGAATGTACATAAATTGCCTGGTTACAAGTTATAGTCGAATGAACTACCTTAAATCATGATTAGAGAATATCAATGAAATCGTACAAAATCAATCGAACTGGCACAAATGTAGTCATTATTTTACGATTCATTTAGTTAACTTTATATTTGGATGAGGTTAGATGTGAGAATTGTAACATTTTGTTCCAGGATATATTTTCTGCAGTCTCCAAATGTTCCTTATGACTGACTAACTGACTGAATGCACAAAAGATTTAATATTTCATTGAAATCATGAATCAATCCAAGTTAGACAATCATTGAAAACCTGGAAGTATTGGACGGCCGTTTCGCCCTGGTATGCGACTCCTCAACAATACGCATCTACGACATCGAATGTGGGAATCGAACACAGCGTAGCCGGTCTCCTATCGGAACGCCTACCCGTAAACAGCCGAGCTAGCATCCAATGGAGTTAATATCTAATCCCAATCAATCCATAACAATGCGCGACCAACTTTCATTGGTGATCTAACATTGATCAGTCCATAGTTTCAATGACATTCAATAGACTCCACAATTTATCATGTGTTCATTAGCGCTGAGAGGAAACTTCCGGAATTCTAGTGAGAAGCTATGACCAATGGAGCTAACAGGTGTCGGGTGTGAAACATTTACCCACCGAAGATGGTTGTGCAGTGTCTTGGGTTAAATAAAGTTAAACACTAACATTGTTGGATGCCCGCGCAGTGGTCTAAAGATGGAGCATTTACACACGAGACAGAAGGTCCCAACTTTGATTTCCGCTGAGCAGTCTTATACTAGAACGAAACGGCTGTCTAATTCTTCCAGAATTTCAATGGTGATCTAACACTGATCGATTTATGGTTTCAATGAAACTTGATAATCTCCACAATCTCATACTGAAGATTTAACATTCATAATAATAACAATAATAATAATAATAAATATAAAATAGTTTTAATAGTTGAGATCATGAGTAAATTGAAGCTAGACCACCATAGAAAACCTGGAAGCACTGGACGGCCGTTTTGTTCTAGTGAGAAGCAGTGACCAATGGACTTCAACTGGGTCTTTTGTGAGATAGTAACTCACTGAAGACAATGGTGGATGTGTCGCTCAATTTCGTGGATCAGTTGAAGTTAAACATTAACACCGTTTTATACCAGACGGCTTAGTGGTCTAGAGGTTGATTGGATGCACGTGAGACCGATAGGTCCTGTGTTCGAATCTTGTGAGATGGAATTGTGGATGAGCACATTCACATATATAAAATGTAACTTACAACGTTGTATCACTTTTACATTACGATTTAACATGAATTCTTTCAAGGTAATTAAATGTTGAAATTGACTTTTTGTTAAATGAATACATGTACGACCAAATTGATGAATAATTGGAAATTGTATAGATATTTGTTTAGAAATATCTAAATTCTCTTTATTTAAAACTGATGCTTCATAATAACAATTAATTGGAATTATATTTAATCCAAGTGTTAACATAATAAGAACAAATTGTTGTTGTTGTTGAATGGTTGATTCACCTTTGAAAAAAAAGAAAGAACATTGTTATATTATTCTTCAATATACCAAAACAAGTAACTAAGTATATATTCATACTGAGATGATGAAGATTCGTAGCTCAGATGGATGATTTTGATGGAGTATTGTTCTCTGAGCTGGATGGTTTGGTTGTGAAGTTTTCATCGTTCTTCTGAACGACATCATCAGCACAAACTTCAGACTTCTACCTGATGATGTCGTTCACAGAACAAAAACTCATCATATATTCATGCATTTCATAGGTGAAACTACTTTCTATGACCTGAAGAGTTTAATTGTTAAGTCTTCTTCATCAATGTTTTTTTCTAAACAATAGGTTGTTATAATCAAATGGTGATGACATTTTCTCCTTTCTGTAATAGTAAATGATATCATTTAGACGTTCAAATCAGAATAAATGGAACAAAGTTCGAATCTGAAATTGAATAGTTGAATGTAGAGTTGTTTAAAACATTGGACAATCCACTCAATTCGTTGATATGATCAAGCTCATTTAATACAATAATCGATAAAGATTTGTACTGATAACAATAAACTTACCAACAGCACCATCTATTTCACTAAATCACAAGATATCAGATAGTGAAGTTTGATATGTGATTGTCAGGAATTGATATTTACGAACAGTATCATTGATTATAAAAGTTGAAATGTTGATTTCTACATTATCCACTTCCTATACATGTGCACCAGAGTTCTATGATGTTTTACTTAACTGAATGACTAACTATCATTAACAAAAGATTGTAGGAAAAGAAGTGAATAACAACTGATTCCAATTTGAAAACTAGAACATTTAATTCGAATAGATCAGTGTTAACGTCTCTAACGATGAAGTTGGGTGACATGGAATAGAATCTACCAGACAACATCAATTTTCTTACGATAATAGGCATATCATGATGATGAGTGGCAACTAGTATGAAACCTAAGTCAAGGAAAGCTTCCTATCGACTACCTCCAATAACCACATTAGATTGTCCAAAAGGTAATAACAAAACACCATACATAATTGAAAGATACAAGTAGCTGGAAATCACTTACATTACTCTGCGGTGCTCAAACATTATCAAACTTACTAATAACGACTATATACCGTTGGTATGAAGTGAATTACTCTAATTCCCAAAAACGGAACTCTATTCTGGATGTTTGTATTTTATTTATGTTTTAAATTGGTAATTATCTACACGATAGTGTAGTTATTAATATATTACCAAGAGTCTTTCAATGAGATGACTCGAGCTGATTTATGTGGAAAAACAACAATTCACTGATAAATTTTTTATTTTCCTCTGGATATTCGATTCTACATACGTTCTCATTTCTTCTTAAACTATATCAATTCATTTTCTTAATTTCATTCAGTCATCTTAGTTTAACATGGCAACTTGGGCCAACGTTTACCTGTGTCACACTATATGTTCATTGTGATTAACTGACAAAGTCAGTTTGCATGATTTAAGTACCTATTAAATGTTCAAATAAGTCAAAGTTAATGGTGGGGATAAGGGTCTTATCCTCACTATTCAAATAATTCAGTAATAAATCTTAACTAATTAACCATTACTCCAATTATCTTAATACAATACACGAACATCATAGTTAGTTGGAATCTTCTTAGGCTAATCACTTCAAAGAACAGCAACTGTTAAATGTTCCTTGGGTTTCCAGCTACTGATGTCAATCTATAATGAACACCTACCTCAAGTTAATATGAAATCACCATGATTCTGACCCATACATTAATTAAAAAAAGTTTTACAGAGGTTGTTCAAGTTGGAGATAGTTCGCTCTACAGATTAACATTCGTTGACAATACCACTGAAAACTACATAGTATTGAGTAGAAATTTTGTTTTGTTATAGTGATCTTCAACAATATATACCTAGAACTGAATTTATGATTTTCAGGACTCAAACGATAGTGCTTTACCTTCAGAAGAATGAGTTAGCATCTCATGATTTATACTTCCAATTTTACAATGATTCACAGAGGATTATGGATGCACAGCGCCGTGAAGTCTTACATCAGTGCAAAAAAAATATATACAGTACCCCTTGGTTTTTCAGAGGATTTTAAGTTAAAGTTGTCTAACCGAGATATTGATTATCTCTGAAAAAAAACATTACTCAAACAGAAAATGGATACCTACAACAACTTACTTGTTTCTCGACGTAATTTAAGTTGAGTTCGTTTAGATGTTGAACGAGTTAGTTGAATTAACTTAAGATACCATGAATTTAATAAAGAGAATTCAGTTTCCATTAATTGGTTAGCTGGTGGATGAGGATTTAATTGCCAAAATACTCTGTATTGACTAATAAACTCCTTGTATGTATACCTAACAAAAAAAATAGATGTGTAATCCTAATAAATGATAATATTACGTACATAGAAGCCAACAAAAACTAGATAAGTTGCTGATATGATGAATAAGAATTAAGCCTAACTACTTATATCCTAATCCGTTGAAGAGTAAAGGAATTACAGAATCGTTTTCTTCTAATCAGTTATAAAATCTAATCATCTATATTCTTTTATTGGCAATTGGTTCATAAGCATATTATTTTGTTACATAATAAATCCATTCTTATGGCTAGTAGTTTTGTCGTTTTATATTCATTCTGGAGATTTCAAGTTAATAATCAGATCTTATGAGTAGTTGTCACACACAGTCACTTGATATTACTGCATATCGTTTATCAATCGGTATTCTATTCATTCATTTCAACAACCGTAAATGTGATATGTTCAAACTTTTCATCTATAACAGAGTTACTCATTGTTATCTAAAGTCAAGTGGACATAGTTCAACATTTTTTACTATCTATCTGGATAAATTTACTGTTATAATTCTCTCTTATTACAACCCAGCTATTCCTATTGCTTAGTATTGTCGGACACCAATTCACTCGACAAGTCCCCAAATCAGGACACGGTTGAACAGGAAAGAGATTATATTCCAAATAACAAAGTTAGATGAGAGTAAGAAGCACAATAGGAAAAACGTTGGTATATTTATAGTTTTTACATGAGATTTCTAGATTGTTCTCCAAGTATCGGCTAGAGCTGATTGGACAGGAATTAGCCAATCAGCGTGCATCACAGCAGTCGTGCATTGAGCATGCTTTAATCCAATCTATGTCCCGCTAACATTTACTAGTGGTGATATCTTGTTGATGAAGTATAGCTAATGTAAGTCACGTTCACATATACACTCCGGTAGGTAAATCAGTGAAATAAAGATATAATAATTCTTTTAGTTATGTTGAGTTTTCTGTGCCAGAAAGTTTGATTGCGGAGTTTTAACTGTCGTTTTGGATGAATTCATCAATGCCTAATTCAGGCAGAAGTGCGCTTCTTAGAAGAAGACAATTCGTTTTGATTGCCTTTGTGTTTTCGTACACATGTTGAATCGACCTCTGACCGTCTAAAGTAAGTCCGGATAATGTTGTCGAGAACAAAAATCAAAGCTCAACAATTTAAACCATCCAACTTCAGAGAACATAACACTGAAAAAGTGAGCTAAAAATCCACAATCACGATAAACTCTATCAACACCTACCAACACATATTGACACAATTGTAATATGTCTATTGATGAGTGGTTTGCCCAAATCTCTTCCAGAAGATTAATGACTAATCGAAGTGTGGAATAATACCAAACTCATGTTATAAACCTCATTAAAAACCATCTATGAAAGATTGTCACGACTAAGAAAAATCACTTCCCAACACATTACATTACATAAGAACAATTAATTTTTAAAAATCAATAATTACTTTGCATAGTATGTTGAACGTAAAACTTCCAATGCAGCTAAAAGGCCACTAGTTAAAAGTTGATCTTGTACATAATTACGATCAATAATGGATAATGAGTTGATAGTTGAACAATTGATTCCAGAAGGTAAATCCGGTCGAATACAACGTATAAAAAATAAATTATGACAACTGAGACAATCAAGCAGTTGATCTACAGATGACTTTATTGAAGAAGACAAAAACAAACAAATCAAAACAGCATGTTATTTAAATTCTCAAATAATACAAGTAGCATATTTAAATTATAACTAAAAAAGTCATTAGACTGAGGCAATGCACTGTAAATATCTACAATCAAATAGGAACCTGTTATATTCTAGTGATGATTACATTACGAGTAACGTCTGAGACCTTTTAATGGACTAATATTATCTATATATTCTTATGGTATAACTATTCAGTAATTACATTGTGTATATTTATATTCATCTTATTATAAGCTCCATTTTGACCTATAGACTATATGACACTAAATACTGTTATTAAGTTATGTTCAATTTATTGACTACTGCTCCCACATTCACAGTCACTTTTTGGCTTTATTGTGTACAAATGTTATTTCCTATTTTATGGGTGATGTGATCTGTTTGGTTGATATATAAACCCAGTATGTCTGAAATAAATGATTCGCATAGTGGAGGCTGTTGTTGGCATTCTGGGCTCAGCTGGATGGGTTAGGCAAGCAAAGGATCAATAAGGACGCTAGGCTAATCAGATCGGTCGGACGTCATTGGTTTAGCACAGTATAAGAGCGAATAAGTCATATTTTGATTGGCGAATAGATTACGTGATAATTAGCGGGCCATAAAGACACAGCAGAACCGATCAACTGTAAACATAATTAAGAAAAAACAGAAAATTCAGTCCTGATCACAATAAAAACAATCAGGAATAGTTGATTGACATTATTATCCCAAGTGGTTTAAAGTTGTGGTACCTTCAAACAACTTGTAGACAGATGATTAGAAATCATTTAAAATGAGTGTTTGATTCATTTGTTTATAGAAATGGAATACTGAGATGAAAATATATCCAGTGTGTGTGTGTGTGTGTGTACGCAGATCGACAATGAACTAAATGTTTATAGCAGTTACTTAGATTCATTTTATTAATTTATTCTAATAAGAACAAATTGGTAAAAAGAAAACAAATTATGTACATAAAAATTTTATGTAAATAAAAAGGACTAGACATATTGTGTTATTATTCAAAAGAATCTAGGCTAAATAATGATAAGGTTAAATTATATAGAATGATACGATTAATAAACTGTTTTAGACGGGTATTTATCATAAAGATTATAATCAGAAGGGATTTGTGGAGATTTTTAGAAATTCCACAGAATGAAATCATGAGTCAATTGAAGCTAGACCACCATGAAAAACCTGGAAGCACTGGACGGCCGTTTCGTCCTAGTATGGGACTCCTCAGATTATAACAATATGAGACATCAATTGAAATCTATTAAATCTTAGTAGGGAGAATAGGAATTCCTATGAACACATGAATAGGGTTATTTCTGGTACCATTACAAAACAATTATAGTCATCTATAACTAGTGAAAAAAATAGATGGGAACACAACAACAACAAAAACTGCAAAAATTACCATGATAGAATTGTCAATCGAATAAATCTTATGTAGTTGGCATAGGCAAAATCCTCTAAAACTCAATTATAGACAAACTTACAGATAAAGCTAGACCAACTATAATACACCAACCTGTCTAACGTGTAAATCCACAGTTATCTTGCACAGAATATACAACTGGTTATAACATTCCTCCTCACTTTACCAATTACTCAAAAAGAGGGACCTTAAAGGTTATGCACCAAGGACTTCTCATCTTTAATGATCTGTTATTTTTTTTGACTGTGAGTCAAATCAATATGAACATATGTATTTCTTTTGTCCACATAATTTCTTTCGATATGCAGATATCCTTCATCTTTGTTGCTTCACAATTAGCACGGACGATTACCTCAAAGATCAGATTCTCGAACCGAACCGACCGAGTGAATTGAATTATTCAATATATTACGAGATACACAGTTGTGCATCTAGATATATTTTCATCTCAGTATTCCATTTCAATAAACAAATGTATCAATCACTAATTCTGAATAATTTCTGGCTACAAGTTGTTTGAATGTATCATTAATTTAAACCATTTGGGATAATAATGTCAGTCATCGATAGTGATTATATGGTACGTGAAACTATGTCAAAATCATCATGTGATAACCAGAGAGGGATTAGTTTAACTAATACAGTATCTAAAATACTAGCCTCGATAATTATCAGACGCCTAACTAAGACTCGTGAACTGCAAACACGAGAGAATCAAGCTGGCTTCAGATCTGGTCGTGGCTGCATCGACCACATATTCACCATTCGTCAGGTTTTAAAACATAGGCATACTTATCGGCGTCCGACAATGGTGGTCTTTCTTGACTTAAAAGCAGCATTTCACTCTGTAGATCGAGAGATTCTGTTGCAGTGTCTGTCATTGAGAGACGTACCACAGAAGTACATAAAACTTGTGAAGGCTCTTTGCTCGAACACTACCAGTTGAGTCAGAGCTTACGGCGAACTGTCATCTGCTTTTCCAACCTCAAGTGGTTTAGTTGGTAGTCCATCAAGACTGTCCACTTTCTTCATTTTTGTTTAACTTCATTATAGGTCTACTGATGGAAATAACGCTCTCACCGACTGAATTTTAGGGCATTGATCTCCTAACAGATGGTCCACTTATCGATTTAGAATACGCAGATGATATAGTCCCTGTTTGATGAAGACAGCCTTCCTCCGAGATACTGACAAACTCAGTGAATTCAAGATAGCTCTCAACAACAGGTTCCAAGCCTTACAAGATCTACTGAAGGAAGAAGAAACTACTATGGAGGATAACTGGAAAAGTATCAAAGAAGCACTGACTTCAACGTGTCAAGAGGTTCTGGGCCTAAAGAAACACCATCATAAGGAATGGATCTCTATAGAAACACTGGAAAAGATCAAAGAAAGGAAGAACAAGAAGACAGCAATTAACAACAGCCGAACACGAACAGAGAAAGTCCAAGCACAAGCTGAATACATAGAAGCAAACAAGCAAGTGAAGAAGAGCATTAGAGCCGACAAGAAGAAATACGTGGAAGAACTAGCAACGACGGCGGAAAAAGCTGCTAGAGAAGGAAAAATGAAACAGTTTTACGATACAACGAAGAAACTAGCAGGGAAATACAGTAAACCAGAGAGGCCGGTCAAAGACAAAGAAGGCAAGCCAATCACTGAAATTCAAAAACAGCGTAACAGATGGGTAGAATACTTCGAGGAACTCCTGAATAGGCCGGCTCCAATGAATCCACCGGACATCGAAGCAGCACACATAGATCTTCCTATAGATGTCAACCCACCAACGACGGAAGAAATTAGAATGGCCGTCAGACAAATCAAGAACGGGAAAGCAGCAGGACCCGACAACATACCAGCTGAAGCACTGAAATCAGACATCGAAGCAACCACAAGCATGCTTTACCTTCTATTCAAAAAGATTTGGGAGGAGGAACAAGTGCCGATGGACTGGAAAGAAGGACACCTCGTCAAGATTCCAAAGAAAGGAGATCTGAGCAAATGTGAAAACTACAGAGGCATTACACTACTGTCAATACCAGGGAAAGTCTTCAACAGAGTGTTGCTGAACCGGATGAAGGATGCAGTAGACGCCCAACTTCGAGATCAACAAGCTGGATTCCGTAAGGATCGGTCGTGCACAGACCAAATTGCAACACTACGGATCATCGTCGAACAATCAGTTGAGTGGAACTCGTCACTATACATCAACTTCATTGATTATGAAAAGGCATTCGACAGTGTAGATAGGAGGACATTATGGAAACTTCTTCGACACTACGGAGTTCCTGAGAAGATTGTCAATATTATCCGGAACTCATACGACGGACTACAGTGCAAAGTCGTGCATGGAGGACAGCTGACAGATGCATCCCAAGTAAGGACCGGAGTCAGACAAGGCTGTTTACTCTCCCCCTTCATCTTTCTTCTGGTGGTCGACTGGATTATGAAGACCTCGACATCTGAAGGAAAACATGGCATACAATGGACAGCACAGAACCAATTAGACGATTTGGACTTCGCAGATGACCTAGCCTTCCTATCTCATACACACGAAAAAATGCAGATAAAGACAGCCAGTGTAGCAGCAGTTTCTGCATCAGTAGGCCTCAACATACACAAAGGGAAAACCAAAGTCCTCAAATTCAAAGCGGAAAACAGCAATCCAATCACTCTTGATGGCGAAACTCTGGAAGATGTAGAGTCTTTCACATACCTAGGAAGCATCATCGATCAACAAGGAGGTTCAGATGCAGATGTAAAGGCGAGGATTGGCAAAGCAAGGGTCGCATTTTTACAACTGAACAACATATGGAACTCAAAACAACTTTCAACCAATATCAAAGTCAGAATCTTCAATACCAACGTCAGGGCAGTTTTACTGTATGGAGTTGAAACTTGGAGAACTACAACAACCACAATCAAGAAAGTACAAGTAGTTATAAATAGCTGTCTACACAAGATACTCAACATCCATTGGCCGGATACCATCAGCAATAGCCTTCTGTGGGAGAGAACAAACCAACTTCCAGCTGAAGAAGAAATTAGGAAAAGACGATGGAAATGGATAGGACATACATTACGCAAATCGTCAAACTGCATCACGAGGCAAGCCCTAACTTGGAATCCTGAAGAGAAGCGGAAAAGAGGAAGACCAAAGAACACATTACGTCGGATAATAGAAGCAGATATGAAAAGGATGAATTACAACTGGAAGGAGCTGGAAAGGATTGCCCAGGACAGGGTTGGATGGAGAATGCTGGTGAGTGGCCTATGCTAATTCGCGAGGAGTAACAGGCGTAAGTTGATGAAGACGCTGATAAAATGCAGAGTCTTTTGATAGCACTGAGCAACAATTCTAGAATGTTTGGGATGCGCTTCTCTCCTTCTAAATCCAAGTTGTTGCTTCAGGACTGGTCTGCGTCAACACCTGAACTAAGGGTAGGGAGTGAAGTAGTCGAATGCGTTGACAACTTCACTTATCTTGGAAGTCTGATCAGCCCTAATGGGTTGGTGTCTGACGAAATATGAGCACGGATACGAAAAGCTCGCTTCGCATTTACCAACTTACGTCACCCATGGCGAAGGCGAGATATCCGTCTATCAATAAAAGGGACGAGTATACTGAACGGCAGTTTGTCCTGTTTTACTTTACGGCTGCGAAACGTGGCTAATAAGAGTAGGAGATATTTGTATTTGGCTCGACATAAGTGAATAAACGATTTTCCTAGTTTTTTTTCACATGTTTGTCTGTATGCTGGTTTAACATAATCCCTCAACATACATATGCTTCAATTATTTATATATTTGTACTGAATAATTGGAAACATTTTATTGCATAATTTCAATGACTCAAATGATCCATGTTTATTTTTCGAATGTTGGACTTACTTTAAAATTACCAAATACGGTATTCAAACGACGTGTATTGTTAGCATTCAATCGATTATTTGTAGGAGAAATGGAATTATTCACATTATGCTGATCATCGCCTTTATGTAAAATAATAAAATGATCGAAGAGAATGAGGAAAAGAATAAAGAAAGGTTACAATTACGACTCACATGAAATCGATATAAATGAATTAGACATGACTAAATGAAAGAAAAATCTGGACAATTGAAAGAATATGGTGGAGATTTGTTTAATTAGTAAGTTGTATTCATCACAGATTGATTTCAGTTTGGGTACCACTGTAAACCGGTAATCACTGAACAGATATTTAATCCCAGTACAGGAATCCACGTAAATGAACACCCACGATCCCAGCAGGGATCTGAATCAGTGACTGTTGTCGTTAAGCAGTAGCCACAAGACATGAAGGTCCTTGGTCTGACCTTAAGTAGGGTTACGGGTTCGCATTGTTGAAGAATTCTATACTCGGATGAAACATCTGTCCAGTGCAATTTGATTTTTTCAATAGTTCCTCACAATAGGACGAAACGGCCGTCCAATGCTTCCAGGTTTTCCATGGTGGTCTAGCTTCGACTGTTTCATGATCTCAACCATTGAAAAATCCATCAGTTAACTTTAGATTCTCTACATTTCTCTTCTCCATTTATTCTATTCATTGAAATTGCCTTTGAGTATTTCAATTGGTTTTCTGCTTCTCTAGGATTATAGTTTGTATTTTACTCACCACTGATACTATTAAAAATCGAATTAATCAAGCCTTCTCTTTGCAAATAGGCTTTTTGAATGGATAAGTTCAACTTATAATGTAGCTATAGGTTGACTACATGTTGAACAGTAGCTGGCAGTAGAATTAAGAAACATCATAGGCATTGAACATATTGGTGACTATTGTAATATAAGTAGCCTAGAGGATAACACTTAAGTTTTTTTAACCAATCATAATCCGACTCAAATTTCAATGTGAATAACAGAACTCATTCGAATGCAAGTACATTTCAGCTGATGAGTCATGGATAGGACGAAATGTAACAATTAGTTACAGAGAATGACCTAACGTGGCTTAACTAAAATAAGCAATATAGAAACTAGAACAAACAAGTTAAGCAATACCCCAATTTCCCATACAAAACTCATATGAGACAAGGATTTGCAGTTGACTATTTACAAATATTCAGCATTAAGTTATTAATTCATTACAATTTCAATAACTAAATAATACTAAATTATATAAACAATTACCTGAAATGTTATTTACAATTGATGAGTTGAGTTGTTTACATGAACTGTTATTTATTTGATTATCATTAATAATGTTTATTTGTCGTAAGGGTGATCGTATCTGTGCTGAACTTTTCATTTGATGCTTTGAATTATTATTCATAATTGTATCTAATGCATGACTTAGAATTAAATAGATAAGATTATTATTATTATTTGTAGTAGGAGGATTATTATTGTCACCATCAAGTGTAGTAGTACAAGAGTCTTTTACCCATGTCAATAAATGTACTGGTAGACGATCAAGATTTTTAGTCACAAAGCCTGAAACAGAGTATGTAACAGATCCACCATAATGTTTCACAATGAAACGATCACATGCTGATTTTGAATAAGTCTTAAATTTTGACGGAGATGGTTTAGAAGTTGTTTGTTTGTTGATTACATGACAAGATGTTGGTTGTGTATGTTTCTTAGTATTGGTCATACGAGGTGATCGAACAATCTGGTCTGAAAATAGTTATTTAAAAAAAACGACAATAAGGTGGAGTGAATACACCATTTCCTTCAAAATCACACAATACCATTTACAATTAGCTAACCACTGGGTAGTGATCATTGTTAAGTGTATCAGATCCACTTTCATGCAGATAGAATTCTACAGACTAAGTTGCAACGCGGCCACTGGTCTAGATGACTGGACATCGTGTGCTCTGTGTTGAGATGCGATGGTGGTTGGAGGTAGCCGGCACACGTTTGACAGTGATCACAACCCAGTGATTTCTTCTGGTAGGTAGTTAATTGCTTAAGGGAACAATCCTCGAGCATTCGACCTAAAGATCCAATCCATGAGGCAGTTGAGCAAAGTTACGAGATGCAGTTACATAGTAACCAATTGCCGAGGTAGAAACATACATTATTTGTTGTGGATCTCATAACGAAAAATTTGTAGCCAAAAAAAGAATAAATGAGGAAGATTTTCTGAAATTACATTCTCTGAACTAAATGATTTAATAGTAAAGTCCACATTACATTCTTAGACAATATTATCAACACAAAAATTCACATGAAGTCAGATATTAAGAATTCTTTATAACCGACAAATAGCTTGTAATGCTCAATATTGAACTTGATTCGTTATTTCGAGAGAGAGAGAGAGAGAGGACTCTTCCCACAATCGGCCGTACAAGGGCTGAGTACTATTATTTGTACTATTCCACTAAAAATAATTATTAGTTTGTTAATGAAATATCTGCCATCTATTATACTTGACTTATAGTATATTTTATACGAAATAATATTGTATGTAAAGTAAAGACAGCCAATGTAATAAAAATCTCTGCAACAGTAGGCCTCAACATACAAAAAGAAAAAACACGGTCCTCAAATACAACACGGAGAACACCAACCCGATCACACTGAGCCGAAGTTCGGGAGCAGACAACAAAAGGATTACTCAAGACAGTTAGATGGGTAATGATAGTGGGAGGCCTATACTCCTCCATGACGGGTAACAAGCGTAAATAAATAAATAAATAATATGAACTCCATGAACTTTGAATACGAATTTTATTTAATTCAATGTGAACACATAAATATTGGTACAAGGGGGGACCAGATACACATGAGAATAGGAACAGAAAAATAATGTAGGGTGAGTATAAGAAAAAAAGGATAATAACGACCACATATTAGTGTATGGTAACGTAATAATAATAATGAGGGAAACAGAAAGGTACAATCATAAGAAATCTTTCAGTTAAGGAAGATACAACAACTTTTTATGAAGAAAGTAAAAGAAGGTTACAGCAGGATAGCCACTGGCTTCTATTCTGAGCCATATCTGATAACGTCTCTAGCCACTGTGTAGCACCATCTCTCGGACCCCAACCATGGAGTCGTGAAGAACCAACACAAGCCAGTCCTTTGCTGATTTCTTCCATACCACGACACCATGTCATACACTGACCACCTCTCCGCTTTTTCCAACCAGTCCCAGAGTCAGAAAATAATGCACGACGTGGAATTCTCTGGGACGACATTCGGAGAACATATCCAAGCCACCGAAGTCGGTGTTTCACGGTGGTGACACTAATTAGATTATCGTCTCTGTGCCCGAACATACGATACCGAACCTCTGCATTACTAACATGGTGTTGCCACTGGATGTCAGCAATCCTTCGGAGACAACGATGATCGAATACAGAGTCGTCTAACATCCTCAACTCGGAGAGGCCAGGTTTCACAAGCATAGAGCAAAACCGCTCTCACTGACGTGTTTTTATATAGGGCTTTTAGGATGTTAATAAACTTCTCAGGCACACCCTTCTTCAATAGACAATTCCAGAGAACAGTCCTGTCCAACGAGTCTAAGGCAGCCCTGATGTCAAGAAACACTACGATTGTTGGCCTTTGATAAGTATGGCAGTGTTCTAACATTTGGCGGAGGGTGAAGATATGATCAATACATCCTCGACCAGAACGAAACCGAGCCTGCTCCTCGAGAGTCAATCTTTCTCGGGTTTTGAACAACCTACGAAGTATGACAAAAGCCAACAGTTTGGAAGCAATCGGAGGTAGACTTATCCCCCGATAGTTGTTACAGGAACGACGTGAACTCTTTTTAAAGATAGGGACAACTATCGTCTCATTCCATGACGTTGGTACACTCTCTAGTTTCCAAACCTTTGTAAACAACACAGTCAGTTCCTTAGTCAGAAAGTCACCACCATCTTTAAAAAGAGCCGGAGGTAAGTCATCTGGGCCAGGTGATTTGTAACGCTTCAAGAGTTGAAGTTCCTAGCTAGTCTAGAAGCTAGCTCGGTTCGATAATTACTTGCAACAGAAGTTGCAACCAATTTACTGACATCAATCCGTTTATGACGGAAATTAAATAAATTTAGCCAAAAAATGTATTTTAATTCTTAACAAATAATTAACAGAATATAAATATTGAAAAGTTTATTTGAAAGAAAAGAAAAATTACCATCATATAAACAAATTGAACAATTGGGTGTAGTAAACACTGATTGCATTTTATTAATCCAATCTAATTCACGTGGATCTAATAGCTGATTAGAGGATATAGTTGAAGATAATTTCATGGAAGAATTCACATTGTGAACACGATTTAAAAGACAAACCTATAAAAAGAGAGAAACGTTTAATAATAATGAACAACCATAAAAAAATGGGGGGAATTATTGGTAATATTGGGGATTTCAAAAAATTGTTGGATTGCATAGTTTACATAATTGATAAACATTAATCAGTCAACTATTGAAAAACAAGAGGCAATGAGCAGCTATTTCTGCCTAGCATGGTACTCTTTAGCAATATCGTGAATTAATTGAAGTTAGAAAGTCGAATTATTGAATGTAGACTGAATGGTCTAAAAATTAACCGTTCCCCGTAAAACTTAAAGGTTCCGAGTTTGGTCTCCAGTGAGGTCGTAGTTGCTGAGTCATATATTAAGACATATGTCTGGTGTCTGAAATGTTTTTTTTTCATTTTCATTCACTCATACAATTTTACTACGTTTATTTCTAGCTAAAATAAAAGGATCGTATTTTTGGTGGAGTTTTGTTCTATGAGCTTTCATCGTCTATCTGAATGACTTCATCAGCTCCACGACCAAACCATCCAGCTCATAGAACACAACCCCATCAAAATTATTAACTTAGCTGCAAATCTTCTTCACCATCTTATGAGTCAAATGCCGTGCTGATATCAACACACTATTTTCTATTATACCAACATCAGTTGAAAAATCAGTAGACGGTTTAGTGTCTTGTATAAGTTTTACTTCAGAGTAAGTGTTCTATGTACTTATGTGACACCTGTTTCGCTACTAAGCAGACTTAGAGCATAGACTGTCTAATGGAAGAACTGAAAAAGCCTTTAGAAGTTCACGTCATTTAACATCGTCCCTGATGTTTATTTGATCCAATCAACACACGAAATATCTGACAGCTGAGATTTGTCTAAGATCCTTATACAATACTCATCTACATTAAGATGGTGTTATGCTTTGAAATATATGGTATTGATGCCTTCACTCCAATTCGGGGAGTATTGATTTAGTAAATAAAACATTCGGCTTTCGACAAGTAATTTGCGGGTTTAAACCTCACTTTCAACCCAGTTAGCTTTGAGTAGCTGCTTACTATCACCAGTCAGATCATACAAACAGTGTGGCTTGAAACCAAGTGCATAAATCTGTCTACGCGGTCACTGAGTTAATCAATGAAAATAATCTACTAGACCGAGTGAAATTAGTAGAGCGGTGATCAAATACAATAAACAGTTTTAAAGAATTTCTTGGATGAGCAGTACTGATTTTCGGTGTACAACGTTATTACATACAGAAGATAATAAACTGATAGATCAAGAAGCGTTATAATACAAAATTACCAACCACCTACATTAATATATTACACTGACCAGAGTAGAATAAAAATATCAATGAGATTATCACTGATTGTCATATATTCATTAAATAAATCTAATCTGAATAAATTGTAATAATAGAATAATGTTCCAATACTATATCTGTAGATACAAGCTATTTTGTTCAACAAACTAGTCCATATAGGTAAACGGATAGCTACTAAATAGTTCAGATAAACGACAACTATGAATGAACCGTCTTGTCATTTAGGTACCGATAAGTAGTAACGAGTTGATGTCTGATGATATTTTGGCACGAAATCAGAAAAGCTGGGTTAACCTCTCCCAATTTGTGCCAATTATTATGTAGGTGAGATGTTCATCTGTCAACCAAAGGCCGTATATACTATACAGAAGACTGTTCCGTTTTACTTTATGTCTGTGAAACATGATTTTCGAGAGCAAATATTATGATTAGGCTACAGGTTTTTGATCATTGATGCCTTCAAAGCGTTTCTTGAATCTCATGGGACTACCGAGTGATCAATGTTAATGTTACCTTACTATTCAAGATACATTAAAATCAAATTTATCGCCAATCAGCTTATTTTTATTATTTTATTTGAACACATAGATATTGGCACAAGGGGGCGTCAGATACATATTGCGCCACACAAATCTCATTTGATTTATTTGAGAGCTGTGAAACTCCCCAAAGGCCCAAACCGAAACAGGTGGTTCTCTTAGACGGCCACGCCCGGAGCCTTTGACCTAAAGGTCTGATCCACAAGGCAATGAAGCAAAGTAAGGAGATGCAGTCCCATGGTAGTCGGTGACCGACGATTAGTTCATACGCCATTTGTTTCTTCAGGTTACTGGAGCCCATATACACCATCGGTTTCGAATCAGGGTTTTCCAACATCCCTAGGTGGACTCTCCGTGTCCACCAACCCGGTTAAAGAGCAGAATATTCGCTTTTCGTCCTCTCAATTTTGTAAACAACGCCCTCGCCACGAGAAGGCGGTGAGTAGGACTTCCTTGACAGAGGCTATATACGCGTAGCCATGTGAGAGCATTTCGAGAGGAAGAGCTGACTCTCCCCACTCTCGGTCGTACCAGTGCATTTGGGGGCCAATCAGATTACCAACAGTTGCACTGATATAATCTATTCCATATAAACATAATTAATCATTTTGTTGAGGTTCATACTTTCCTTATATCAACTAACTATTACTAATAACAAAACTGAGTTTGCTAAACTGTGTGTGTAACAATTAACTCAATTTACAAAACGTATTAATTAGCATAAGAATAAATAAAGCAATGTACATACTTCTTCTAATAAATTGGCATTTGTTTCTATGGCTTTCACAGTATGTGTATTATAACATTTTTCCAATGATGAATCTAACCGGGGTTTGTATTCATCAATATTTTTATCAGTAATATTCATATTAGTAGTATTGGTAACGTTGGCGGTGGTGGTAGTATCAGTTGGCAACAAATTATCTACAGATTGAAAAGATAATCCTTCCTCTTCTAATTCCACCCATGCATTCGTAACAGCAATACGCATAAACGTTTGGTGTAAACGTTCATTAGCATAATTAATACAATACTGTTCGAAACTATTTACATCCAAGCATTCAAAACCGAATAGATCAAGGATACCTGAAAAAACATATATATATATATATATATATATATATATATATATATATATATATATATATATATATATATATATATATATATCAGCACAACGAGAAAATTAATATGAGGGAAATGACAAGAGAAGAGGATTCATTTCAATAGGGACGAAATCCTAAAAGAACACAAAATATTTCACAAAGAACACATGGGATTAAAGAATAAGGCGTTAAGAGTAAAGGAAGATAGAGAACACAATCCAATTCTTTGTAGACGTTTCCTCTAAAAGATTTTGGATTACTTTGTGTAATTCAATAACTACGGATGTACAGTGCGCAGTCACTCAATTCAGAGCTTTGGAGCTGATCCACTCTACTCATCAGATTACCATAAGTTATACAAAATTTAATTTTCTTAAGGAGGAGGTATTCCTGGATCTGGAACCACTTATGCTTATTTACCAGGTTTTGCCAAAACTGAACCATTAGTTTTTTAAATCATAGATAAAAACCGTCACACTAGATGTAGTTGTTAGTTATGTCCATAACTAGCCAATCAAATCGTTGCTTAAACTTTCACCACATCAATCTGGTCTAATGTGCCTGTAGACTATCCCTGTTGAATGTAACCTGCCAAATGAAGGATGTTATTACCCTATTATATTAGTTTTCTTTTCATTTCGATAAGACACGCAATACTGACCGGAATGTTCACGCGTTTCACCTAATGACTATAATTCCTTTAATTATTGTACTAATCGAATTGTTATTTTTACGTTTAGAAACAGATAAAGTTTTCAAGCCAAATTGTCCTTGTTTTGACTATAGCTTAATCCACATAGATTCTGGGTCATCAGTATCGCGTTTACAGTTCCGGTGGAATATCTGTAGGACAAATTAAATCCTATAGTAGTATCTAACTACAGGCAGGAGAATCATCAAGCCGACTTAACGCAAGTCTTCTTTCTGGATATCGATTAGAATATATGCCCATATGAATGCAGTAGCAGTCATGAAGACAAATGATGTGAAAATTACTGTAACAGTAAATTCCGAAGGAACGGGTATTCGTAAAATGGTAAGCACCACAATCCTAGCATGGAATTTTCTCTATGGTTGCTTTGTTGAAATGAGGTGAGGGACAGGGCAGACGGTGAAAGTATACGGCCAGATTTTTGATGGAAATCAATCCTGCTGGAATCACCTCGGTCTCAATGTTAAATAAGATGCTTACTGGTTAAAATATTAGACTTTGGATCATGAAGGCACGGGTCAGAACCCCAGCTACACCAAGTTTTGGTTTGTGTAACTAGTCAGTACCATTAACCCTTGGGTGAAAATTTGTAGCAGTAAACCGATTAACATAAAATCGGCCTTGGTTACTGAAACACTTAAAATTAATGCTAGATATTTGGGTCCCAACGATAATTTGTGGTGACGTCATTATCCTTCATTATGAGATAGTATAGTCACAAGGTACCCGAATAAAAGTTTAGCTGCAGAATACAGTTAGCTTATTTAGACAGTGAAAAAAATAGCTAATTGAACAGCTTGTTAATTGATGGGCAAAATATCGTGTAAGTTATATTGATGTCCCACAATTTTACACTGACCTCAGTAGGTTGAAAGAAATTTAGCGGGCCAAACCAAAATGTGGCATACGTTCATAAATTCATTATCCGCAGTATTGAACTATGTTATTAGATGAAGACTACATGGCTAGGGTCTGCATGATAACTGAGACCAGACGTTAGAGATTTTGTGTGAAAATTAGCATTATCCTAAATCCTGAATCCCAATATTCCTCCATGTACACTTTTTAATTCAGTTCTCTCAAACAATAATTTCAATATTCAGTATTTGACGTTATCATTGTTACCATTCCATTTATACTCCTTCCTTATTCATTACATTAGTTTCATCTCGTCGAGCAAATAAGGTACGACAACTTGGTCAAATGCACATTTACATCAAACTCTACGTTGATTATGACTGATTGACAAAATAATAATAATAATAATTATAATTATAATTATAATTATAATTATAATAATGCCGGTAGCAACATACCCAATTCATTAACAACACCTTCAGTATTATCGAAATTCAACTGTTTGTTTATTAACTCGACCATGAAATGAAATAGACTAAAAAGCAAATAATGATGAATTAGAAAATTATAAAATTTATAACTACAAAATTACAAACATTAAGAAAGACTAACAAATCATGGATGACATAATATATCACGGTAAAGCAAAATCTGAAACGATTATAACATGATAGACTTATGGAACAGAAATCTCGCTGTACCCACAACACAATCTTTTTAACAGCTGATAGCAAGAGACATAATTTGTGGTGGTGGAAAATATTTGTAGCTAAAGTGGATAATTTAGGTGGAGTTTCGTCCTATGATTTGAATGGTTTGATCGTGGAGCTTTCATCGTCCATCATCTGAACGACCTGATCAACTCCACAACCAAACTATCCAGCTCAGAGAACAAAACTCCACCTAGATATCATTTGTTTTCGGTACAGTATTCGAATTATCAATGAACTAGTCAAAATTATAAGTGAACGGTTAAGTAATATCTGTATTAATTTTTAAGTGTTACACTAATATAATGAGAAGTAAAACTAAGAATAAATATATATTAATTACGGTTTAATTCTGTTGCTTAGTCATAGATAATATCGAAATTGGAGTGAATGTCTACTGGTTCAAAATGTTACATCTAATGTCATTATAAATAGAAAATACCAGAAATGTGACAAATTATCTAATTTTTGGTTAGCAAATGATAGGTTTGCTATGTAAGGAATTCTTTGGTAACATTTTTCTTAGTTGATTTTACGTTAGCTATCAACTGATTGAATGTTTTCACTTTTATTTCGTCATTCTTTCTGGATCCTAATGCAATATCAAAAGGATTATCCTTTTACAATTATGACCTATGAGAATATTTGACACTTCCTGAAAGTCCTGTTTTTTTCCCTCTTATTCGCATAAAGATCGAGAGTTGAAGAGTTGTAGTGTATTACTTATTTCACATATCTAGTTTGTGAAGACCCAGTTTCATATTAAAAGAATCTCATAAACGTTCGAAATTCGGAATTACCGTAGACTATCATAACAGAGAGAAAGATGAAACTAAATAAATGAGAAGCAGAAAAAGAGGGAAAGTCTGGTAAATCATAAGATGTAATTTTAGGAAAAGACATTAAGCTTCAGATTTAAATCAGTGAAATTTACCTAGTGAGTTGAAGCCTCAGAAACTGAATAATCAAAATAGTATTGATAGTCATCACGCAAATTTGACTTGTAAGTGTTCGCATTTCCCCATTGTTGATGTTAAAGACTGCAATTTATCAGTATCTACTGGGATGTGTACATCATTAGAGGATTGTCTCTGAATCGACATTTAGCTGATAGCTATGTCGACTCGGTAGCTCAGTGTTTAACGAGTCGGCGCTTGAAGTGAAAGGTACTGAGGTTCACCTCTTAGCGTAAACAACGACATTGAGATGCAGGTACACCCAGCTGGCAAATGCGAAAGAGAACGAAGCATAAATACTGGATTCCACTGATAACTAACATCTAACTTGAATTAAAACCACAAATTATTTGGGTAGGAACAGAACACATGAACGTGTACATGGTGAATGAATGAGTCACATTTTATTCAGTTCAAACTTAAGATCTAAGGGAAGATCAAGAGCGAGTTCGATTGGTTTGCTGCGATCGGAATGAAAGTCATTTCACACAAAATTTCCAGCCACAGTTTAAGACTGGCAAAGGCTCCAACCAGAAAGTCGTCATATACGTACATAACATAGACCAACAGTCAAAACCTCCAAGTATTGATGTTGCCTCACGATTTAGCCACACTTAGTTTTCTTTATATTACTCCTACGTAACTAAGGACTGATTCGAAAGAGGAGATAATTAGCCATATGTAACAACCCAGAGAACACAAGGCCATCATAGTTGAAGCAAATAAATACACTAACCTATTGTATAAAGCCTTTACAAAACAATCACGTTGTTCTCGAGCTTGAGAAACTGTACACGCACATTTATAAGTTGTCACTCGTCTGGATTGATGTGAGTTGGAACCAGCTTGAACAAGACGTGTTATAAATTGTTGTGGAAAACTATGAAGCAATTCACCGTCTGGAATACCTAAGAGTTTACCAGCCATTGTAACTGCACATGGAAAATAAAAATGTGATGATTTGAAAAAATATTTGTGAATATATTATAAAATGTAGTAAGTACGGGTGTAAAAACTGTCATATAAATAAGTGACCACTGTTTTTCTTCTCATATATGTCTCAATACCTAATCAGGTGCTCACTATACCTGCTGCCAAATTCTATGTCTTATACGTTTCTAATGATAAAAACCAACTGTTTGATTTTCAGTGCTAAAATAAACAAAAATGTAGCTCAGATGTTTTAAGAATTAGAAATTAAGCAACTATCGGGTCAATTTAACTTTTCCAGTTTGTTTGTACTCTTGTGAAATAAGCTATTTATCCGTATCAATAAATTAATGAGTGTTTCCAAATGAAAATCCCATATTATAACACCAACTGAACTATTAGATGAGTTATACACGTTTTACGAATGTCATCCAACTGACTTCCGCACTTAGCCTTATTTGTTGACACTGAAATAAGGTGGAAAAAAGACAGAGATTGTATTTTTCTGACATGGAACTGTCGTATGAAGTCATTTTTGGTCCATAAAGACCTCATGTTTTAGTTCCTGGTGTTCATTAGACAGAGCTCAGAATAGAAGCCAGTAGTAACTTTATTGTAGTTTTAAATCAACTTTTGCATGAATATGAAATTCAATTTCTTAACTGAAAGAAACCTATTCTAGTCATATTTCTAACTGAAACGTCTTTTTTGTTTGTAACGTATATATTTGGTGCTCTTTTTTAACAAGTTTTTCTTGTTATAAATAAATAAAAATGATATGAAACTTACCTTTCTGTATATCATCGATAGAAATAGTGGCTAAACTGGCGGGATCATCTGAATACTGACGTTCCTGATGTTGGTGGCGATAATCTTGTTGATCATTCAATTTTGACGAATGACAAGGTGAGTTAGACGGAAGACATGATGAATTTATTTGACTTACGTCAATATTTACACAAGACTCCGAAGAAATGAAATGTACACTATTCAATAGTAAAATTACACTTAGTAATTTATAAAATTCAAGCAATTTTTCATCTTTAATATTTAATGATCGAAATGCTTCAATTAAGCAAGACCAGTTGGAATGTGACTTTTGTAACACAAGATCATCAGGACCATCATTATCATTCACTAGATAATGACAACCAATCAAACCAAATTGTATTTGATCTTCTTTTGATAAAGATTCCAAAACTGAACAGTTGAAAAATTTATCCACAAGAATATTTGATGGAATAGAAAAAGCAATAATAAAGGAATAATAAGTACTAATATTAACTATTTTTTATTTAAACACATAAATAAATATTGGTATAAGAGGGCACCAAATATATATGCGCCACACTATTTGTGTGTGCGGGCTGTGATACTGCCCGGGTGCCCAGACCGAAGCAGGTACTAATCTTAACTACTAATATAGGACAAAATTACACTGGTTCGAATTGTTACATCAGAGTGAGATTAATAATCTAGATTACAGACTGATACTAGTTACTCAGCCACTGAAAATCAGAAAGCATTGGACGGTTATTTTGTCTCGGTGTGCGACTCTTCAGAAGTGAGTATTCACGACCCCGACCACATGGAATCGAGTTCAGAACACGTTGCAAGCGCTTAATCTTTGGATCATCGAGTTGACATCCAATGGTTTACGTTTCTAACTTTAATTGACATTTAGCAAAGATCTTATGATCCCATTGATGGGCGACTGTTTCACGCCCAACATCATTGAACCCCAGTGGTCATGGCTGCTGAGGAAACCCATGGTAGGACATGACAGGTGTCCAGTGCTTCTTAATTTTTAATGGTTTTCTAACTAAGATCAATTTCGAAGCAAACTATAAAGTCAGCAATCTTAACAATACCTCCACAGTAAAGTGAGACTAACAAGATGAGTGAGGAAAGACATCAAATAGCATTAGTAGTATAAATTAAGGTTCAAATGGAAGCTAGACACTGAGAATATAGTCTGAAATATGAACGACAAGGCAGTCATATACCACTATAAATAGTAAATTTGACTAAGGAACTAGTGATCTGTTATTATTTGCAAATCTTATAGTACGCATCGGTGATCTAGTACATGAACATGTGGAACACTGTTGTTCACTAGTGATCTGGTTTCAATCTGTTCTCAGTAAACAAATGAATAAATAAACAGTTAAACAAAAAAACGTGTACTTACCCAACGGAATACATGAAATGACGAGAAAAGCGTTTGAGAAGTGAATACAGCTCTAGGCTTTTCTAAAAGATAAATTTGCAACTTTGCTGCAACGAGAATTTGATTTCTTTACGAATAAAAATGAAAAAGGACATTCGGATTTACAATAGAAATGTACAACTAACCGATCGTACAATAGGCGTATATATTTGCCGAAACGTGAACTATTTTCATTAAATTGAGTTTGTGCATTGCCTTAAAAAAATCGATATTTAGAAAGCAATAATTTACACAAAACATTTAAACGAATTACCAAGAGCTTCTAACACAGGATTCGATTGTATAAGTGTGTGTTCAATATAAGTTTCAACTTTTGCTCTGTCGAAAGTAAAATAAAATTTTAATTTTTTTAAATAAGCGTTTAAGACCAACATTACTGAGAATACGAAATTCGCAAAGTATGCTCTGAATAAAAACTACATCAACAGAAGGATCGAAAAACTTGTACCTTCTTAATTTAGAATTTTCTCTAGTACACTCACAAGCCAGCATAAGATCGGACACATGACATTTAGGTCTCAAAGAGGTGGGAATCAGGAGGAAATAAAGTGAATCTACATAAGTTTCGTATCATGTATACAAATGTGTATGGATTAATTTATTGAGTTGTTTGTATCAGTGCTTTTATCCAAGGTTATAGATACACATTTTCTTACATAACTGAGTCAGTATTTGCCTTAATTAACCTTGAAGCACATGTCATGTTATGATTGTTTTTAAACCTCTTTTCAATCGTTACGTTGAAAAATGTCTACAATAAGCCGTAATATAAACCAATAAATCCATACTTTTTGTCAAATACGACTTCAAAAAATAATAGACGATACTCTATGTACTGGTTATCGTACATCGCATGAGTGGGGGAGCCAGTTAATATATGTTTGTGACTGACAGAAGACTATTCGGCCAACTTAACACTAAGTAAAAATGTAGAAAATAATCAGCTTACATTTGTTTCTGACGCTTTATACTACTTTTGTAGGTTAAGTAGCGTAATATATGTTTAGTAGCTTCTGTTTTCCCAGACCCACTTGTGCCCGTAATAATTATCGACTGATTATTTTGTGTCGATGATAACTGATATAAACACTCTTCAGCCATAGAAAAAACGTGCGGCTTTCTCCAACAATCGGGAATCTAAGTAGATTTTAACTAATACGAAAATCAAACAAATAACCTCATTAAAATCATTCCAATTATCACATGAGTAGTTTTGTGGACAGGCGCTTTTTGGATTGATTGATATTAGAATATTGGTTCCAAGCCATGTGTAAATTTCTGAAGTTCATATTTATTTATCAGACTTTCAACAACTATCTGTAGGTGAATTGAAACCCGAAAAGAACAATCGGTTACCTTCAATCACACTTGGTGTCGACAAATCTAGTAGATCAGCCGGTATATTTCCAATCATTAATAAAGATGATTCAGAAAACAAGCTGAAATATAAAAAGATGACAGTCTTAAATTTGTATAAAATTATCAAATCATATCATAAAATTACCACAACATAGCCAAGGGCAGAAAGATCATAACATGCTACTAATCCATGAAATTGACTTAGACGAATTAGTTAGATGGGCTAGAGGTTGGGGCTTAGAAATCAATTTTAGGAAGAGTGTGCTAATGCGTATCGGTCACGGTGATAGTTACCATTATACAATTGATGGTAAACCTCTTCCATGCGTTCAAGAACATAAAGACTTAGGAGTAATAATAAGTTATGACTTGAAAACAACTACGCATTGCAACGCAGCTTCTGTAAAAGGTTTTCGTGCGTTATGGTCACTTCGCCGAGCATTCAAATGCTTTGACAGGAAATGTTTCAAATTTTATATCCCACCTATGTAAGACCACATCTAGGGTACTGTATCCAAGCAGCTTGTCCATGTCTGATACAGGATACCAACTCACTTGAGCGTATGGGAACAAAATTAGTGAAGGGTCTTTCTAGACTCCCTTACGATGAGCGCTTAAAACGCCTAAATCTTTTCCCCTTGTCGTATCGTAGGACACGAGGTGACCTTATACTGGCATTTCGCATCTTTAATTACGATTTGGGTGTTAAGATGTCTTGTCTTTTTGCTCCCACCAGCAATAATAATCTCCGAGGTCATAGTAAGAAGGTTCACAAACTGCGATCTAATAAATCTAAAGTGGGGTCCCGTTTTTCTCATTGAGTAGTCAATGACTGGAACGCCTTACCCGAACAAGTGGTATCAGCCCATCAGTGAATATTTTCGAGAAGCTGGGCCTTCACTGGGAGGCAATCTGTCAGGATGAACACAGGTCCACCAACCTAATATCCTTATTACTGAAGACTAGACCTTACCCATGATCGTAAGGGGTGGGACTCCTGCTGAAACCTGTACGGCGCTTGTCATCAACGGCTGGAGATGTTGGATTACATGGTGTAAAATTTATCGCAGTGAAGTTCCACTTTCTCTAAACCCTGAGGTGAATGCCATTCCTAAGTTGTTGCTGTGTGACCATACTTGTCTCTCGTTTCCATATTACCTTATACGCCGAGCTACACATCCTTCACAGCAACTAACCAGCCTATATCAGACGCTTATCAACTTTCCAAAAATGTATCCGAACTCTATGTCTATATTAATTATCCCGACAGCCCTAGGCGATTTCGCGCTCTATTTAAAAGGACAGTGGTATTCTTTCTCGTTGAGTTAATTAACTGTTTTGACCGTAAATTACGCATCGAAACTACTGTTTACACTTTAATTGCATCTACCCCAGTTAAAGTGATATTTTATTGAGTTTTTCGATTTTGCTTCTGTGTATTTATTGCATCGAAGCATACTTGGTCGACTTTTACTTGGTTTATTTAGTTAAGGTTTGAAAATCCTTTTACATATCCTGTTTTTGTCACCGTTCTAGTTGATTTTCAAGATGGCTAGGTCTACTCATAAATGTGGACAACCATACTGCTTATTTCCCGTGGATGAAGGGATGCAATGTGATGAGTGTAATAAGTGGTTCCATAAGATGTGCACCCGATTAAGCCCCACTGCATATAAAAGGTGTTCAAAGCCCAACTCTCATTGGCTTTGTAGTTTTTGTTGCTCGAGCAAAACATTGCTTATCCAGGAAGCAATTAGTCTCCTGGTGTTGGCTAATAAGAAGGTTGATGAGGGCTGTACTGATAACATTGGTACGGATGGCGAAGATTGCGTTAGTGTCGTAAGTGCTATCACGGCGCAAGCCAGACATCTACCTGTGCAACCCGCAGTTAAACGTTCTCCCCCGAAACGATCAGTGAGTGACACGTCATTAGACGTTGGTGGCCATATTGCTACAGCAGCAACCGGTGACCCAGATAAAACAATTACTGTCCCGAGTTGTTCTAATGTAGACGTTTCGACTGATGGAAAATGGATGACGCGAAAACGCAGAAGAGTAGGAAAGATAGCTAAAACTAATGACTGTTTAAAAAAAAAAAACTTGGTGGACTCTCAGACCAATCCGCCAAAGTCCCATAGTAAAGCTTCGTCTGACATTGTTGTGAGTCATTCGCTTGACTCCCAGGACTCTGTTAAAATAAAAACTAATCGTAAGCTACCAGTAGTTAAAATACAGGATCTAACGTCACGGTCGAAAGCTGTGAACACAGTTTCAAAAGAAGCTAAACCCCTCCCTAGTTTAATTATTTGGAATCTAGAGGAGTCGAAAGACAACGACCCTGCTAAAAGACACGCACATGACCTACAGTTAGTGGAGTCTGTGGTAAGGAATGTACTACCTGAAGAGGTTTCAGGGGTACATATTACAAAAGTAATACGACTTGGTAAATGGGTTGGAGGCGAGACCCAACCAAGAAGGATCCTGAAGCTGGTTCTCGGGAGTTTCGAAGAAAGAGACATATTATTGAAAAGCGCACTAAAAACTCGTGCCTCAAATATCCGTATTCGACCAGATTGGCCGCTTGAGGATCGAATCAAGTGGAAGAATGCTCTTACGGAGTTGAGGACTCGCAAATTAAATGGCGAAAATAACCTTACCATTAAGGGTTTTCGGGTAGTCAGGTCTTGGAAGCCAATGCTTCCGAGGCCTGTATGGGTAGAACGATTGATTTCCAAAACACCTTAAGTGTGTGCTACACGAACGCTCGTAGTCTTAGAAATAAAACGTCCGAGCTAAGTCTGATGGTGCAAGAATTATGTCCCGATATAATCGTTGTTACAGAAACTTGGTTCACCGTTGATATAGACTGTTCTCCTTTCATTGCTGGTTATATCTGTATCAGAAGTGATAGAGTTTCAAGTCGCAAGGGGGAGGTATAATATTTTACGTTAGGGATCACTTTCGTATACAATCAACCATATCGGAGGCTCATATCAGTGGCACATGTGAGGTTGCATGTTGTAAGATTAAATCTAGAAATGGGTTAGTGACTATAGGGGGAATATACCGTAGTCCGTCTTGTCTTGCTGACGACTTTATCCTAAGACACATCTGTTCTTGGAGTATGGCAGAATGTTGTCTCATCATTGGGGACTTCAACGCACCGCATATCAACTGGATAGAGCTTACAGCTCCAGGTAGTGGTTTCGATAGCGACCTTTTATCTACCGTTATTCAGTGTGCACTTGTACAATGTATCACAAAACCGACACATATTGATTTGCATCATAATCCGTCACTGCTGGACCTCGCCCTCACCCACCACTCTGAGGATGTCTTTGATATCCAGCACCTTCCTCCACTAGTGAACAGTGATCACGTTGTAATTCACTTTAAGTTTAGGACACATGGTATACAATTCGTATCTGCTCCACCCCGTCCCAATATCTGGCGAGCTAATATTCCGGAAATCAGAAACCGTGCTATCTCGACTGATTGGTCGGTCGACGCGGATGGATTGATCGAAGATGAATGGAATAAGTTTAAGGCTACATTCGAGTCCGTAACGTCGCCGTTTATCCCATGGTCAGCACGTAAGCTATCACATTGCCCTCCATGGATTAATAAGGAAACCCGGAAGCTGTTAAAGCGTAGGAAACATTTCTGGGACTTATTCTTGTTGACAGGTCATGCACCATTTAAGCGTGAGTATCAAAAATACCGTAATATCTGTAAGAAAACCATAGCGAAATCCCGTACCACTTACGAACGACAGTTAGTATATGATAGCCGTACTTGTCCGAAACGATTGTTTTCGTATGTTAAACGGCAAATGAAACGTAGTGATGGTATTCCCCCGTTGCTGTTACACGAAAATTCAGAATTACTAGCTGAATCAGATCGAGCAAAAGCTGAGACTTTTTCAGATTATTTTAGCGAAGTCTTCTCTACGTTTATTGTAACAAATACTTGTCCCACTCACACCGAGATACCAACCATTGAATCCGTACAGGTGACTGAGGAAACTGTCCTTCCGTTGATAACTAACCTCAAACCTGGTAAGATACCGGGCCCTGACGGGTTACATCCACGGTTGCTGTCATCTCTTGCGGACATTATTTCAAAACCGCTTGCGACACTCTTCAACATGTCCCTCTCACTCGCCCAACTCCCTAGAGATTGGAAGGACGCTATAGTTAGTCCTATATTTAAGGACGGTCAGCGACAGATAGTATCTAACTACCGGCCTGTCAGTCTAACTAGCATAGTCGTTAAGTTACTCGAAAAGATAATTCGGGTTAGGTTGCTAAGCCACATAGATTTACACAATCTGTTAGCTCCTGAGCAACACGGATTTCGTAACAAGCGTTCATGCTTGACTAACTTGCTTATTGCGAGGGAGGATTGGACAGCAGCCCTAGATCACGGTCTGTCTGTCGACGTGATATTCATAGATTTTAGCAAAGCGTTTGACAAGGTTTCACACGTAGGTCTTATGCAGAAGCTCACGAGCTTCGGAATAATAGGTACTGTACATGAGTGGATAGGAAATTTCTTATGTGACCGCAGACAGAGAGTTAGGGTCAATGGAACGCTATCCGATTGGAAGCCGGTCAAAAGTGGTGTACCCCAAGGCACCATCTTAGGCCCTCTGCTCTTCCTTCTCTACGTTAATGAGTTACCACTGTTACTTAGGTCGTCGACATTATTGTTTGCAGATGATGTAAAAATCTGGAGAACAATAAAAAGTGCGGCTGATCATGTGGATCTTCAAGCTGATTTAGACGATTTAGTTAGATGGGCTCGAGAGTGGGGCTTAGAAATCAATGCTAGGAAGAGTGTACTAATGCACGTCGGTCACGGTAATAGTTACCGTTACACTATTGAGGGTAAACCTCTTCCATGCGTTCAAGAGCATAAGGACTTAGGAGTAATATTAAGTCATGACTTAAAAACAACTGCGCATTGCAAAGCAGCCGCTGTCAAAGGTTTTCGTGCGTTATGGTCACTTCGCCGAGCGTTCAAATCTTTTGACGAGGAAACGTTTCGAATTTT